GTCCTTAGTTTACGAATTAACAGAGTATATGTCTTTATAAACCTTTATTTTGATTGGCTAAGAGCGACGATCAAAAAGTTAGCTATATGCTGCGGCGACGATGTAATGTCGATCACTTCAAAAGGTTTGATCTGAGATTTGTCGTTATCATATTTTTTGATCTATAATATAGTAATAATAAAATGAATTGGTTTTCTCGATATAGATTCTTTAAATATTCTAAATTTTCACATTTGATGATAAATAAAAATAATTTTTCAACGCAAACAATATTATTACGTTCTAATGATTATAAATCGAAATCGACACAGACAACCTTAATACGTCCTAATGATAATAAATTGAGTCGTATCATTTTTGGACATAGAATATTTGATGAACCAAAAGATATTGAAAGTGTATTAAAGGAAGTATTGTCTGATTTTCAAAATTCAAAGGAAGTCAGACGTCAAAGTACTGAAATGGGTGTGCAAATAATGAAATATCGCACTGCGATACGACGATTTGTAAAGGAGGTGAAGGACGAAAAGATAGAAAAATGCGATAGAAAAGCTTTACAATCTGCACTCAACGAGGGTGGGGTACGTTGTTCAATAAAATCCTTTAAATTATTTAATAATGATCTAATTTCTCAAGAAAAATTTTATTTACAAATTAAATTTAGAAAGATGCTGTTGAGAAGCTATTAAAGCTCGCATTTTTAGAATATTCCATGAATTTCATGTCTGATGAAGATAAGCAAAGATTTAACTCATTGAAACAATTAAGCGATCTTAGATTTCCCGCAGAATGGCATCCATCTGCAAGAACTATACAGCGGTATGCTCAATTAGTAATAAATAAACAAGCATTATACATAAAGTCTAGCGTTTGATTTTATTCTTTCTCATTCTCAGCAAGATCATACTTCATGTTGGTCCCACAAATTCAGGAAAAACATATAACGCTTTAAAGTGTTTAGAGAACGCAAATTCTGGAGTATATTGTGGTCCTTTACGTTTACTTGCACATGAAATTTTTGACAGATTTAACAATAAAGGTGTTCCATGCAATCTTGTGACTGGGGAGGAAAGAAGGGAGTTAAAAGGGATTCAAGTACCTTTGACATCTTCTACTATTGAAATGGTAAATCTACAAAAACAAGTCGACGTGGCTGTTATCGATGAGATTCAGATGATAAGTGATCAACAACGAGGATGGGCATGGACACAAGCCCTTTTGGGTACATAAACTTAATGACTTTCTCATTTGGACATTGATTAATTAAATGGAATTTTTATAGATCCTCGTAAAATAACAATAAATAAATAAAACTAGGTTTGCAAGCTAAAGAGATTCACATATGTGGAGAACCTTCGGCTGTGCCACTTGTTAAATCGATTTGTCAGAGTATCAACGAAGACATTGAGGTTCGAGAATATAAACGTCTTTCTAAACTTGAAATAAGTCAAAAATCTCTTGATGGTGATCTTAAAAAAATAAAAAAAGGCGATTGCGTGGTAACTTTTTCCAGGAAATCAATATTCAGTATAAAGCATGAGATTGAAGCAGCTACTGGCCTTCGTTGTGCAGTTGCATACGGTAGTCTGCCACCTGGTGTGTGTGAATACAATGTTAAAAGTTATTACTTCATCGGTGTTACGTTTATTAATGTCGAAAAAAAATATATTATCTAGAAACTCGGTCGCAACAAGCCAAGTTATTCAATGACCCTAATAGTGGGTTTGATGTTCTAGTTGCAAGTGATGCTATTGGAATGGGTTTGAATTTGTAGGTAAAACTTTTTTTTTTTTTAATTCATATAAGTATAACACGATTATTATTAATTCCATTGAAAATACGTATATTTGTTACATTTAGAAATATTAAACGAATAGTATTCGAATCCATAAAGAAGTATGATGGAATAGGTATACGATATATCCCTATTTCTCAGATCAAGCAAATCGCTGGACGAGCCGGCCGGTTTGGTACTGAAAACAACGTTGGAGAAGTGACGGCGTAAGTAATTGGGAGAGTCAATAATCTTCATCTTATGTGAGTTTACTTTTAAATGGAATAAATTTTTACACGTTTCATTTATTAGGATTGAGGATGCGGACTTAAGATATGTACATCAAGCGATGGATGCACCACATAAAAATTTGGAGGTAAATCATTCATTAATTCATGGATATATTGTTTACTCTACTATTAGGTATATATTCACATAATTACATAACGAACAAAAAGATGGCAGGATTACAACCTACAATGGAAATGGTAGAACTCTTTGCCCATCAATTGCCAGACGTTAAAGAATTTGCAATTCTCTTGGTAGTTTTGATAATATTGCATGATAATATCAATGTATTCCAATGGATTTAAATAATGAATACTATTTTCGTTCGATTTCATAGGAGAAATTTGAAGATTTAGCTCGCGTAGATGGGCAATATTTTTTGTGTAATTTTCATACGCAAAAGGTTGAATTCATGATTACCTATTTACCGTATTTTCTCGAAATAACGCGCAGGAGTGTAATAAGCTTAATTTGGAAATAACACATACAGGCATTATTTCGCGAATATACAGTAATTAATTTTTATAGATAGTCCTCATGTTTATTTATTGACTTATCTTTCTCCCCATATAAAGCTTATTGCAAATACAATTGAACTTATTCCTATGACTATTCCTGAGCGATTCATTTTTGTTACCGGACCTATAAACACATCAGATCAACGTATTATGAAGAACGTACAAAAGGTAATTGAATCGTTTCCTTTGATTGACAAAAACCTGCTTTAAACTTCAATGCTCGAATGATTAACGTTATAATTATTCTCAATCAAGTTTGCTATGTTGCATAGTCAAGGGAGGGCCTGTCGTATCTCAAAAGTCGTATCTATTCCGGAAAAAGTACCCCATAACGATGAATTACTTGGCGAACTTGAATCAATTCATCGTACACTTATGTTATATCTATGGTTAAGGTAAATAACGGTGCCATTAATTCGATGTATATTACAACTTTACTGTTGTTGACTGACGATACTTTTATGAACAGTTACAAATTTTCAGAGACATTTGTCGATGTTGATTTAGCTCGTGAAATGAAACTTAGATGTGAAACAATCATTCATGATTCTTTACAAAAGCTTAAAACCCAAAGAAGACGATATCGTACCATCACAAGAAATATCAGAGAATTAAGAATGACAACAAAAGATAATAAAAATTTTACTAAACAACTTGAGAACTCGTAGTAAATTCTATATTCATTATCGTTATCGTTTTAATTAATATCACTATTTGTTGACTGCGAAATCATAAGAGAAAATTGAAAAGTGTGCACTTAGAGAGGGTGTGCATTTATGGTGAGCAAAATATGTAGAGCTCTTATAAGCTGGGGCCAGGCTATGCCGTGCATTAAGAGAGAATTTACGTTTAATCCGTGTACTTAAGGATGTCCGACTGTAATTGCAAGAGCAAATTATTTACAAATCAATCCCGTTATAACGAATTCTTAATACAATAAAGAATAATTCTTAATATAATGAGTTGACTCGAGGTAGCAGACAATAAATTCTCGTTATTTAGTGAATTTATTAATAAACTTTTACTAATAGCCCGGGCATCCGGCTTGTGTATATATGCGATCATTAATTTAACAAGAAAATATTTATACTGAGAATGATGGCTATTTATTCACGCACTAAGTGCTAAAATATTTTACAAGAGTATGAGTCCATTTTATAAACAAAATTTAAGATAATCCTTTATAGCGATAGATTATGATTACCTTAATTCCCTGACTCATCCTATTTTCCGGTAATTTCCATCTTTATTTCTCGATATCACCACCACTTTTCTTTTACTGGATTCTTCTTTAAGACGTTGTTCCAATAATGCCCTACGTTGAGCGTCATCAAGGGCAGGGCATGGTAAAAAAGGTGGTACAGCAACAGTAAATATAGCAAATAAAGCCACTGTCGTAAAAAGGGACAATGTAACTTTTGATTTTTGTGCGGATGTTAGTCTTGGAGGTAATGAACGCATTTGCTAACAATTATTTATTTGCATTTCATCAAAAATAGGGATCATCCTAAACAACCCCTATCTCTTTTTTCAATTTTTTCACATGAAATCTATGATAATTTCCGAGCACGTGATCAGCAAATTTTTAGTACGTAGGCTCCTGAATGGGGAAATAAGATAGACATTGTACTCGGACACGTAAAAGTTTTTATAATATTTACCCGGTAACCCGGATATTAATATCCAGGTAGCTAGTTAGAAAATTTGAATCTCAAAAAGGAAAAAAAATGTAAACTTGAAAATGATAATACACGTCACTCTAGTTATATCGAGACATTAGTAAAAAAATTCAAAATGTCGGTACAGTGAGTTATACCGACATTTTATATTAAATTTTTGAAAAAAAAATGTCGGTATAGAAAGATCTTACTATGATGTCGTTATATCCAGATGTCGGTATAACCAGAGTGACGTGTACTAGGAGCAGTAACGCATCATTAGATAAATGGGTCAGTAAAAGTACTGATGAACAAACTTAATATTTAAATTTTTTTTTGAGTAACTTTAGAAACTTGAGGCTGTTTCGGAAGCTACACGTCATATTTAACATCATCTTTTACAAAAAATTTCTACTGTGATCAACATAACGTTGAATAAATGCGCGATTAATAAATGTAACCAAAAAGGCGAGATTAAATACATCCGTGCCGATATTCTACATCAACGAAACTTACAAGTAATATTAAAGTTTTGTATTATTTAGATATTCGAAAATTTTCAGAATTCCAATTCTCCAAACTCCTTAAAATGGCATCATTCTTTTAAGCAATCTGACTCTTACAGACCGTCAACTTTACCAGCGCACCGAGCTGCTTAAGTTGAAATTTATGCACACATAAGTAAAGTATTCCTTATTTCTTATTGTTCTCGTTATAAACAATGAATTGCACAACAATAATGACATCAACAAGTAGCTGTATTGCACTACACAACGCAAATTGAAGAGGCGAATTCTCACTGTAAAAAACGTAATAATATATCTTAAAGGAATCTCCAAAAAACCATGTAAGAAGAATAATTGGACTTTTATGGTTTGTCATGGGGATGGAATGAACAATAATAAGAATAATCGATTAATAATTTATAAATTCTTATGATAGTAAATTTGGACCATACCTAAATCCCGAGACGGATTGATTTTTATAATTTTGTACTGCTTGTGGCATAGGAAGCGTGCATTCGACTCCAAGTGCCTTAAATTTATAAAAGTTATGAAATTCTTATGTACCGAGTATTAGATGATATAAATATTACAACATACCAAATATCCCAAAAGCTCTACAAACCAAACACGGTCACCAAAAAAATTAGAAAAAAATATTAAATGTCCAAGCAAAACTATCAAACAAGTCATATAAGGCCTAAAAGATCTCCAATTCCAAAACCAGCGTTTACGATTATGAATTGACAAAGTTGGGGTGCGATATCTAATACATTCGTAAAGAAGCCATATTTGAACTACAATCATTACTATACTTTGATATAGAAGTACAATGTCGAATCTTTTGCCGATCCTGTGTACGATAAAGAATAAAAAGCGATGATTCAGAAAATCCCAAGTTAGCCCGCATTAGTTATAATTCCAGTCAATTTTTGTCAGGATTTTGACCAAAAAAACCGATGATTTAATAAAATAAAATAAAACCTTACCAAAAGAAAACACGAATTATACTAAATTATATAAGCAAATGTTAAAATTAGATCAAAAGCATGAAAGTCAGAGGGTATGCTATCAATAAATAGCAATTACAACCTTCACATCTCCGTAGGATAAATACCTGCTAATCAATAATATTCCAGGTGTGTCTAAAGAGAAGCCAAAACTAGACTTTGTTGTTCTAAATTTTATTATTTGATCTATATAACCCAGGACTGGTCCGAAGGTCATTAAGATTCCTAAAACAACATTTAACATTTTTGTCAAGAAATGAATCTACTGTCATACGTATATCGATACAGTATATGCATTTATACTTCCCACTATAATTTGCTACTATTACATGCCGTGTAACATTCGTTTATTTTCTGAGATGCCCGTCTAATATTGAGCTTTCGTCAGAATACTCTAAATAATTTTCTTTTTTAAACAATCTTTTTTTTCTTTATCATTGGAGAAAAGTGAAACCGTTCTTTCATTAAATTCATTTCAAAACTTCGAGTACCCAGATTATGTATAGTAAAGGTATTTTATTTTCATGTGAGAAGAATTTTTTAGCTTGCTTAAAATTTTACCCTGATGCTAAATTATTGAATCACTGTCGTCTTTAGGTCCACAAATTGTACTTACCCCTGAGGAAAAACGTGTATATGGTCAACTCTTCCAACTTGCTGATGTTAATAAAAAAGGTGTGATCGAAGGGCAACATGCTGTCAAATTTTTTTCAAATTCTGGCTTGCCAGCTTCAGCTTTGAGAGAAGTAAGTTTTTCTACGAAATTTCTATGATAGCCCGATCATTTTTTTCTTTTGTAAATTTTAAATTCATTATCATAAATTTAGATATGGCATATTGCAGATAGTGAAAACTTGGGTTATTTATCGCAACAAAGTTTCAGTATTGCTGTCAAACTAATCTCTCAAGCACAAAACGGGCAATCCCCCGATCTTGCTAATATTAATGCTGGTACTTTATTTTTTATCGTAATTACGCTGGTTTTCGTTTGATCAAGTTTGATTATTTCGTAATGACGTTAGTTAATCGTAACACTTAGCTGCACCTCTTCCACGTTTTGATGGTGTTTATCTAATTTCAAGCGAAGACCGAGAAAAATATTTACGCATGTTTATCGGGTTAAATCCTGTTAATGGCGATTTGGATGGTAAAAATTTTTTTTTTTTAGCCTATTTATAATTTAGAGGTCATTTTGATTTTTGAAAACAAATATATTTTTAGGTGACAGAGCTAGAGATGTTCTTATGAAATCGAAATTACCCTTAGACAAACTCGGCCAGATTTGGTAAAGAACATTTACTTATTTAATTAAAAAAATTTAATCACTACATACCAACTTCTTTTGACAATTTTCAAGGGCATTGGCTGATACAAAAAAGCGAGGGAAGCTGGATATGGCGGAATTTATTATCGCAATGTATTTTGTGCAAAACACTATGAACAGTACAATTAAAACCATTCCATCGGTACTCCCAGAAGGATTCTATGACATGGCTTCTGGTATAACAGCAAGTGCGTCAAGTCTTCCAACTTCACCGCAACCTGCTTCCAGACAAATTGCTGGGGTTGTGGATTCTCCAAGGTCTCCTGTCATTCAAAACTATTCGTGGGACGTCACTGCTGAAGATAAAGCAACCTATGATAGATATTTCAGTTCCGTTGACGTGATGAACAAAGGATATCTCACAGGTGAAGTAATCGCTCATTTAAATATCCTTGCAAACTATAATATATATATATCAGCTGTATCTTAGAATGAAATATTATTTTATAGGCGATGAAGCAGCGAATTTCTTCATGAAATCTAGATTAACGCCAAATGTATTGGCACAGATATGGTAAAATTAATGGCTCTTTTTAATCTATGATCAGTATTGTTCTTCACGACTCTTTACACAAAGTAATGCTCGGATGTTAATGCAGGGACCTTGCAGACGTCCGAAAATCAGGTGTTCTTAATCGTGACGAATTTGCTGTCGCTATGTATCTAATAACAAAAAAAATGAATGGAGCGATTCTACCTACCACATTACCACCAAGCCTTATTCCACCGTCAATGCGATCTATACCAAGTAGGTCTTCTAGTTATTTAATAAAGAATAACATTTGTAGAAGATACGGAGCCTTTTCCAAGAAATTTTTTCTAAAAATATTTATTATGATCTTCCTAATTAAAATGATGTGACAATGATTTGAAGGAGGATTTTCCTAGCAAGGATTCATAGCTTAGTTAATGATTTTCGCAAATATTTAAAATTGATTTGAGGACTTACAATTGGATTATTTCATAATTTCATTATACTAATCGTTTGATCAAAATACAATATTGAAGCAGCTACATTTCCTGATTCTTTAACAAGGTCTGGAACTATAAAAAGCCCTCCAATTGGAAAACGTTCTTCGTTGTTTGTATTCGAACAAGGTCTTAATAACTCATCACCATCACCATTCTTTAATTCCGGTCCTGTTTCTCAGAGTATGAAGTCATTATATATATTTAAATGTATTTTCACGCTATTCCATTCCACGAAATATAAGTATTTATTATCTTTAATAATACAGACTCAAATGATTTTGATCTACTTGGTGATACCGATATAAACACTCAAGTGGCAATTGAAAACGGTGAAATTAGAGCACTCAAATCACAAGCAGATAATTTAAGTGATGCTCTTTCGGAATTTAAAATAAGCCGTGCCAACACTGACACAGATTTGGCTAATCTTGCCGTTCAAAAGAATGAAATAACAACTCGACTTTCTCAGGTTCGTACTTTGTATGATTCTGAACTTAGGTCTTTACAAGAAATTCAAGCAAATTATAAAGCCGAGTACGAAACTCTTGAGCGTGCAAGAGAAGAGCTTGCTCAAGCTGAAAGAGCGTTGGAACAATTACAGTCTGAAAGAGACCAATTCCAAGCTAGTATCCAAAAAGATCGTGAAGAAATGCTGGATATTAAAAGAAGAATGAGACTCGCTGAAGAAAAAAATGTGTCCATAAAAGCTGAAATTGAGAAATTCAAAACAGAAAGTAGAAAACAAAAAGGATTACTCGATATCAATAGGATGCAATTGACATCTGCAGAGAAAGAAAAGGATAAAGCTTTAAAGACTCTACAAGATCTTGAAGGTCGGGATATACCAGATGATGATCCATTTGGTACTGGTGCATTTATACCAAATACATCTGACAGTTCACCATTACAAGGAAATATAAATTCGCAACCTGGCTTGGAATTTGTTGATAATTCAAATCAGTCAAGAAACGTCATCCATAATCAACATCCTTCGATATCATCTCTTGGAAGTGGTGTTAAAAGAACAATGTCAAATTCTTCACTTGCTTCTAATTCCACTGTAGGCACATCTAGCGTTAAATCATCATCGTTTAGTGCTTCCAAATTGGAAGAAACCATGTTTGACAAACCAAATTCTATGTCCAATTCTAAGCCGATTGATGTTAATAATATTTTTGGTGAAAATACATTAAGCACTAATCCTCAAGATAATGATACAGCAGTTAATAGTTCTCGTAGTATAAATTCGTTTGATACATCATTTAACACGCCATTTGCAGAATTTAATAAAGATATAACAAAATCTGATAATGTTCCACAACAAATAGTTGAAAAAAGTGAAGAAAAGTCAGACACTGATCCCTTTGCATCATTTAGCAATTTAAAAAGATCATCAACTGGAAAATCAGATTATAATTCAACCTTTTCAACAACATTTAGTTCGAATAATGATATTGTAACATCAGAATCGTTTACAACTGAGTTTCCCAGTCTAGAAGAAATTGAAGCATCAGTGGAAAGTGGTGTCAAGATAGGATTTGATAATGACTTTTCTAGTATTCCTACTAATATCGAAAATAAAGATGATAACATTTTTAATTCGGAAATTTTAAAAGACAATAATAATGAAGCTGAAAATACACGTGATAATCCTGTTCTAAGTGAGCTAGAATCTGCTTTACCAGAAAACTCCGCAACTGCTAAAGAGGTATCCATGGAAGAAACAAAAGATAATATAAATGTATATAACAAAGGAGTGGAAACACCCTTTGTTCCAGAGATGTCAGAATCTTTGGGAGGAGGACTGGCACCTTTGAAAGATTCTGAATCGTGGATTTCTGTAGAGAAATCATCTGAATCAAAATCTACTATCCAAATGGACGATTTTGACACGGTATTTGCAGATTTAACAGATGCTAAAGTAGCAAAAACGCCACCTATTAATTTTGATGCAGATTTTGACACAGACTTTAAAGAAGACTTTAATCCCACATTTGATGCACCTATCACACATTCTAAAGCTGCGCCCAACACAAGCAGTAGCGGAAATATCATGGGTGTAACACCATCAATTAGTTCAACAAAAAATAGTTCAACAAATTTTGATAAATTTGACAAGACATTTGGTTTTGACCCCTTTTCATCAAATGAATCAAGTACAACTTCAAATGCTACTAAACCAAACTTGGTGGAAGCCGCATTTGGTGGAATAACAGGAGAGCCTCAAAAATCAACAAAATCATCTATTGGTTTTGATGATGCATTTGGAGATTTCTTTAAATCACCTTCTGCACCATCCTCAAAAACAGAACCATCATCATTGGACCTAAAATCCACAACAGCCAATGATTCAAAAACATCAATTACATCAGAATCGTCACAACCAAAGGTACAAAGCATGGACGACGATGATGATGTAGAGCAAGTTAAGCAATTGAGAGCTATGGGATTTTCGAGAGAAAAATCTATAGATGCTCTTGGAAGATATGATTATGATATAG